ATCATCTTTTTTTAAAAGCCTTTTTCATCACTTTTCTTCACTTTTCCTCACTCGACTTGCCAAGTTGATTTGGGCTATACGATGAGTGATATTTTTAAATCAGACAATGGGATATGTCGGGTATATATAGAACTGCATAGCAAACTGCATAGAACTATAGAACTGTTGACCTAAAAAGAAAATGAAAATTCCCTCTATGCATCTCTGTGCGGGGCAGGGGATGATTGTCTTTCCTTTCCGTAGCCTGCCTAATGAGCTAATGATTTCATATGCAAATTTCGCCTCATTCACTCTTGAGTGCCCCTATCCCCTGCTATCTGAAGAATGAATTTCAATTCGAGCAAAGTGATGATTCGTTTAGCAGCGACATCTCTGAATGAGCCACTCAGTTTCATTAAGAACAATCAACGGAGAGTGACAAGACCCACTCGGCGTTCGCTTCTCTCCGATGGTTGCCAAAAATTCACTGCCGGGATTCGGTTCGGGCATGGCCTGAAAGATCGCTAATAATAGGGCATCGGCTGCGGCTGCGGCTGCGGCTCTGGGGCTCTGGGTCTTGATGATGGAGCCAGCGGAGCAGTAAAATTAATTTATGTTCTACTGCATTTTCAGCACCTTGCGCTGAGCTCCAATGCTGCATTATGCATTCACCTCTCGCTGGGCATTATGGAAAATAAAATGATTTTTGGGTTAGAAGCAGCTTCCCGGCAGTGGGCAGCGGGAGGGGAAGTGCAGCAGGGGTACGGGTACAACCAAATATAATAACAATCATTATGATTAAACGTAGCTATTTGAAAAGTCGTGTTCCAAGTTAATGAAAATGTAATTGAGCAACGAATGCCGCGCGCGTTTTTCCTTGCTCTGTCCCTGGGTCTGGGTCTTGGTCGCTGTCCTGGGGTCTGCAACTCCCTTTTGGGTTGGTTGGTGTCTGTGCAGTCTGGGCCTGGTGTTGGCTGCTGCGAAACAGCATGGCGGATGGCATGGCAAGATCGAGAGCAGGAGCTGCTGCCAGCATAGACGAGTAGCGGGGACAAAGCACAACAGCAGACACCAACAACACCCCAGAACCAGACACGGACGCAGCCGCAGACCCATACCCAACCCAAGTCCACGTCCAGGCTGAGGCTGAGGCTTAGGCTGTGGCTGAAACATTCTCTGTGGTTGGGTTGCCTTGCAGCCGGCCGTCGCGTATCTTGTATCTGGCATTCAACTCGTTTGCAAACTATTAATTTTGTGTAACATCCTGCATCTGCAGAGCCAAAGAGCCAAAGCCAGAGAGAGCCTTCGGGTTGAACGGCACGACAGCGAGCCAAAACCAAAGGCTGATCCAAAAGGTATTTGTAATTTAGATTTGGAAAATAGACTGGATATTATAATGGCTCATGTATTGGATATTTGTTTTGCGGAGTTTCATTTATGGCTGAACTTTCTTAAAGAGTTTTCCTTACGTGCGGCCAGATGCTCGTAGATGGGCTTCTGTTTAGCTGGGACTTTCATCAATCATTAGCCCCATTTACCCTTGATTGAAGAAGCGTTTGAAGCCCATACCGATGCCTTGTGAATGTTGTATTAAAATTAAATAAATAAATAGCCCACTAATTAGGGTGCGGCCTGCCGTTCGCTTCACAGAAATTCAACAAATTGTCAACAAATTTTGTGGCCTATGCGGCAATGGCACACAGCAGAGACGAGTCTAATAAGCATTTGAAATTTCGTAAGTGATGTCTGCCAGTCATCAGGTTGTATCTACACATACACATATCTATCTATCCATCTATCGTACATGCATATCAGTTTGGTTGCATCTTTTGATGATCTGCTTGGAGCAGTGCCAGCTTTGGTCTTGTCAATTAGCGAATGATTTTATTCGAATGCCAAACAACTTCACAAGACTGCATGCGATATTAACTAAACATGGATCTATATATACGTATCTGCACGTACCCCCCATAAGTATTGACCATTTAGCCAGAAGCCAGAAGCTTCTTTTTTGTGTGTTTGCTGGGGAGAAAAGTGTTTCGCAGAATTCTGGTTTTTGTTCTCGTTGTTTTGTTGTTTTTGTTGTGTTCTCTCTGGATATCTCCCTGGAAGATGGCGTTTTGGGGAGCTGTGGTTTTTACACATTTTAAAATGGTTGCCACAGTAACAACGTGACGTGATTATATGCAATCAGCGAGGTGCCCTGCCCCCCAACCACCACCCGTACCATCCCATCCTCCCATCCGGCTGCTTCTTCCCGCTTCCCTGAGCAACATGCACTTCAAATTTGCATAATTGTTAACATGATGTTGTGGCTGTTGCTGTTGCTGTTATTTTTACTGGACTTTAATCAGCGAATGTTCAGCCACAGCCACAGCCCCCTGCCGGCTGCCTGCTGCACCCTGCCTGATGCCATGCCCTAGATTGCCCTTTATTATTGGTATTTGAGCTGCTTGGCACCTGCAACAACGTTCGTTTTTCTTTTTCCTTTTTTGTTTTGTTTTAATAGCGATTCTTAGTTTGGCAGCAGCAATTATAATTCGAGAGTTGCAACACACATGCCAGCAGGCAAACTTCTAATAAAGACATTTGCTGACAGAAAATTGAGTTGTGTGTGGCAGGTACGATAAAAAGTGGCAAGGCCTAATTGCCACAAACAGCGGCAGGCTATTGACTCCTAGCAGCGAGTAGGTGTGGCCACCATTAGGGGCGAAAGTCCACAAACAAGAAACTCGAACCCAACCCCAAGTATATCAATGTATCTCTAAGTAAGAGACTGTGGCCAGACACACACACACAGCTACATAATTGGCAGTCTGTCGGATAGGTTACATGTAGTACCCAAAGATACATGCACAAAATGTAGCTATAGATGGCTGCCTTTCACATTAGCCTCAACAGAATATGATTAAGAAAGTAATTAAATCTCGTCGATGCATGAAAACTCAAGGGAAAATGGCCAGAGCCATGGCCAGACAGAGATGCAAGCAAAACAGCCACAAAAATGGCACATTTGGAGAGCAGCTGAGAAGATGCATTTGGAACGCAGATCGTTGTGGAGATCTTTGAGTGAATCTCAGAGTGGCTGGCTGGCTGGCTGACTTCCACATTTCATTCATACGAGTATAGCCCTCCAGAAGTTCATGTTCTTCATTACAGTTCGCCTTTTTCTCAGCCATCAATTTGTTCTGTGTGCCTCCCCACTTGCCGCAATTTGCATAACAGATACAGATACTTGCTGCTGCTGCTGCTGTTGTTGCTGCTGCTGTTGTTGCTGCTGTTGTTGTTGCCTCTGCTGCCATGAGTTACAGATACATAAATAATAACAATGTGCCCCATTGATTGGAACCGCACATGAAACGAGTTTTCCCCCCATACACCACACAAATCGAAATGGAAAATCAGCCAAAGTTTCCTTCAGTTTTGTTAATCAATATGTATCTGCATCTGTGAGGTTGTTGTTGTTGCTGACTGACTGACTGCCTGACTGCCTGACTGACGATTTATAAGTGCAGTTCATGTGGCATTTCAACGTCTCTTTAATTGGCTGACATGTTGTGATATTGGGTTGTCAAGAGCGCTGCACTGCACTGCACTGCCCCTGCCTCGGGGCCAATATGGCCAATGGAAAATTGCAATTTTCCAAAGCAGGCAACTATCGACGATTTGCAGGAGGGAAAAGCACATAATTCGCTGGATATTTGAGCAGGGAAATCCCCTGAGAAATTGCTGCAGAAACTCTTCCATTTAATTTCATTTTTTATGCTCATAATTTTTGTGACTTTTTTGTTCAATAAACGAATCGAAATTCCAATTGAAAAAAAATAGTTCCCAGAACCCACAGCCGAATCAAATGATTAATTTGAATAAATATGACTACACAGAAATATTTAATTATTTTTGTTGGCTTGGCGTTCGAATAATAAACGAGCTGCAAGTCAAATTGCACTCGGGTAGATCCAAGCAAATGTCAAACAATTTGCAGTCCAATAAATTTCATAGATGCCCCCTCCTGCACCACCTGCCACTAAACGATGAAGAATCTTTGGCTGCGGTCAAATAATTTGATTATGCTGCGACTCCGTCCGTGTCGTGAGAGGCTCTCCATCAATGGGTCATGAGAGGTGGCCAGAAAGGGAATCCATTTGAAGAGGAGGAGGAGTAGCTGTAGGCAGGCAGCTGTGTGCGCGCCATTGACATGATGAAAAATCGCTCAACAATTTTTCCGTTCACAAATTTTCCAGCCCAACAAATTTCGAATGAAAATTTGTTTGTTTTTCGTTTAAATTTAAATATAAACCAAGCGAGGTGCTGAGATTTATATCAGGCTACACTAGCCGTATCTTTGTATCTGTAGCTCATGTAGATGCAATCTGTATCTGTATCTGCAGATGTATCTGTGTGTGTGTCGGTTTTATGAGTTATTGTGGGAGTCAGTCCGTCTTAGCTGCGGGTGCCAGGTCCCTGGGTTCTACGATGGATAGCCTCCCCCGTTTGTTTACAATTTTCACGCGCTACGATTTTCGCGGTCGAGTTTTTCACGCAGCGCTCCACCAGATCCACGCACCACCGGCCCCTGCTCCCATCTGGAGTGGACGAGGGAGAGAGAGAGCGTAAGTGTGAGGCAAATTGTTGTTACCGCGAGTATTGTTTATGTATTTTGACAAGATTCCCCGCGCGCACAGTTTGCCAGACAATTTGGTGGCAAGCATTCCGGTGGCAAGCAATTCACTTGCAACATTTTGGCTGGCAAATGAGTGAGGTGAGTGAGCCAAGTGTCTCACAGGCAAATCGAAATCCCAATGAATCGGATTAGAGGGGGGCAGCGATTGAGCTCGAAGTGGGTGGGTGGATAATAAATAATAATCATCCAGAGATGATTCAGAAATTATTTCCAGGGAAATATATACAGCTTGAATATTAATAAACAATTACTCAAAACTAATCAATTCTAATCTTCTACCTTTGTTTTTTATTCCCTCTCCTAACGTATATCCAATCTTATCCTATTGAATACTCACTCGTTCCGAGATGAACTCTCTTCATCCATGGATAGATCTGTGGCGGATTCTTCTTGCCATTGCCGCTGTTCTGGCTGCTGCCCGCCTCGTTGCCGCTGTCGCTCTCCGAATCGGAGTCGCCGCCGCCAGGACTGTGCATCGGGACATTGACCACGCCCGGTACACCGCCAACGCCCACGCCGCTGCCACCGCTGCCCACTGGCACACCGCCAGCGCCCGTGTGATTGTTGTTGAGACTGACGGCGGCAGCAGCGGCCGCTAGGCTGCCACCCAGCACGCCTTTATTGAGGGATCGTGCCACACTCTCCACCACGGAGCTGGGCGAGAGCTTGGGCGAGATGTCGCGCGTGGAGAGGTCCTGCGGGCTGGCCAGCGATTGGTTGTTGTTGTTGTTGCTGCTGTTGTTGTTGTTGTTGCTTCCGCCACCTGACCCTCCGACGCCACCACTGCCGCCCGGTGTGGTCGGATCGTTGGCGTACTTGCAGCTGATGTTCGTCTGCTGCTGCTGCTGTTGCTGCTGTTGCGGGAGTTGCTGCTGTGCGAGTTGTTGCTGCTGCTGTGCCACCACTGCCGCCGCGACATGGGCATGCTGCTGCTGCTGCTGTTGCTGTTGTTGCTGCTGCTGCTGCTGCTGTTGCAACAACAGCCGCTGCGGCTGCAGCTGTGTGTAGTCCACCATATCGGGATTACCCTGTCCGCCGTATGCCGCCGCCTGGTTGGCGTAATGCGCCTGCGGCGTATTCGGATAGAGGTTGGGCGTGTAGGCGGCCGCCGCTGGAAAATAGTCATTGGCTCCGGGCGTGGCTGCTCCGGAGTTGCCCGGCCCGCCGTTGGCCCCACCGCCGCCAGTGACGGCGGCTCCGTTGCTGCTGCCCGCCGTGGCATTGGCGCCCGGATGACTCTGCTGTGCGTTCATCTGCTGGGGATAGCAGGAGGCCAGCGAGTTGACAAACTGGTACGAGGACATGGCAAAGCAATCTGGATCCATTCTGTAGCCAGTCTTTGTCGGTCGGTCGTCTGGGAATCGATTGGTATCTGAAATGACGCAAAAAGAGTGGGAATTGAGTTAGTTATGAATGCAGGCTGTGGGTGTGTGTGCTGTAGGTGATTTTGTTAGGAAGAAGATCTCATTTGGCGATACTCAGAGTGCAGCATAATATTTGCATAATCCAGAGGAAAGATGCTGCACGAGGATATCCTTTGTGGGAAGCTTGAAAGATCGTTAAAAGATCCTTCAGCCCATCGGCCACTTCCTCTTGCCTTTCCCACAGTTATTACCCCTCCAGAGAGTTGCAATCAAATGGCATCCATACCACTGTGCCCCACAGTCGCTGTTGTCCGTTGATTGGTTCCTCCCCCAAAGTGTTGTGTTGTGGCGGGACGTTAATAATTTCACTGGCTTTCGTTTGGCTTCTACTTGGTTGGTATTATTATTATTATAACTTTTAGAACGGTAAAGAATCGGGTTTCTCTTGAGGCCACAGAGCCGCAGAGGGAGAGATGGAGAGAGAGGAAGAGAGAGAGAGAGTTCACTGCCTAAGCATGCAATTTAACCAAGGAACCAAGGCACAGGCACCGCTTTGGAGTGGAGTGGATATATTTATATATATATATATATACAAGTATTGGGAGTTTGGGTTTTTTTTGTTGTTGTGGAATGCCTGGACCGCCCACTCTTCTGGACACACTTTGCGGCTCAACAAACTTTTGCTGTGGCTGCACTTGTCCGGGGCCCAACCGGGCAGGCACTTCTCCAGCCATCGCACAGATACGAGTATGGCCAGAACCAGTGCCCAGTGCCAGTGCCCAGTGCCAGTGTTTGTTCAATGAAGGAAAAACTTGTATTCCTTTCGGAGTCGCCTTTGCTGGAGATAGCAAACAAAAGCAATGACCGAGGCACAACCTCTACCTCCTGCCCCTCTTCTGCTGCAGCAGGAGGAGGCCATAGCCGTAGCCATCCAGGCTGAAAATCGCCTGAAAGCCGAAAAAGTGCAAAACGCAATGGCAAAAGAGGCCAAGCGAGGCCGCTGCACATGAACATGGCCAAAATAAGATAGAGAGAGAGACAGAACAGAGAACTTTGGCCAAAAACAATGCAACGAACTCTGCCACAGCCGGCCCCGCGCCCCACGCTGTATCTCTGCCCTTTTTTTTTTTTTTTTTTGCTTTTGTTGTGTGGCTTGAAACCAATAATTTTGATTCAGTGGGCAATTTAACCCTTTAGCATGTTGGCCAAATGAAAGGAGCCCAAGTTGGGGCTTAAATTAAAACGCCGTACGAGCGGCATACTACGGTCGCCTCTTCAGTGCCCGCCCCCTGCCCCTGGACCGCTCAAGATAAAACAGAAATGGCCAAGAAGACACGAGGAGCAGCACTGGGCAAATGCTCAGGCACTGGACAGAGATTTATTTGATGAGCAGCGTTCTACAAAAAACAGAACAGAGAACAGAGAGCAGAGAGCAGAGAACGTGGCCAAGGAAATACTTATTGTATGCCAGCTAGCCTTCAGCAGGGGAACTCTTCCACTCCACCCCCACTCACCCACTCCTACGATTATAGACTTTAACGGTGGTTGTTCCCTCTAAAAGAAAAGAAAACCCCAACCAACCGATTCGATTTGGCAATATGAGAATTATAGTTGTAGACAAGCGCCAATGTTTAGGCCGAACAAGGCCGAAAATCAACGAAAATTATAGGATCAACTACGGATTTGACTCCGACTCCGACTTTGAACGTTGAACGTTGAACCTTTGACTGGCAGATATTTGTACAATCCACGGGGTCGCAACGATTTGCTGCCAAATGGGAATGGAAGCGATGAAAATTGATTAAGTGGAGAGAGAGAGAGAGAGATGCCAAAAGATTCGCAGTAATCGATGAACGAACGATGGCCGATAGTTAACTGTAGCTGAAACTTATTTAAGTGGAGGTTTAAATTGATATCTGAAGATTGTATAACACTTCCCGTTCCTCTGCACTTCCCGTTCCACTGCATTTTTCAGACGCAAGGCGACTGCTGCCTTCGTTGATTTTCTGATCACTTAAGGGCAAATTAAATATTCAGTAAAATTCGGCGGGTGGGGGGAGTGCTCATAAATTATACGAATTTTTGAAAATTGTTTTCCAAATAGTTGAGGCGACAAGCGGTTCAATTGGTGTTAATTAAATCCATGAATAATAAAAACGCAAAGCGAATTTGGCGGGCACCCCGAAAGAAGAGACAGAGATACACAGAGGGAGAGATATATAGATACAGCTACAGCAGGGAGAGATATACAGATACATCTCTTGCAGAGAGAGGGGGGCAGGGGACAGCGGACAGCCGCCAGACATTGTCTTAGATTGGCGATCGTCGGTCCATGTCATAAGAAAGCCATAAATTATGGCAATTCTTTCGGGGCCCAGCGACATTTTGGTTCGAGACGGCAACTGCGACGGCAACGGCAACGGCGACGGCGACGAGGGAGCGAACAAGCCAGTTTTTCCTTTTGTCCCGATCCCGATCCCATCCACTCCTCTATTGTATAAACAATTTTTAATATGCCTTCCAAATGGGAGTGAAATTTCTTTTTTGTCCCGATACTTAAACCGCAGAACGAATTTCCTTTCCTTTACTCACTGGGGCAGCAGCATTTTCCGTTTCACATTGCCACAGGTAAGAGAGCGGATCTCCGAAAGGAAAGGAAAGCAAAGGAAAGTAAAGGAAAGTGAGTTAAGGTAATAATACTCGTATAAAATAAACAGCAATTGAGTTGCACATGCGTCTGGTGCGCCGTGGACGCAATAAATCAATTTGGGGGGCAACATCGAAGGCGACAGCTGAAAAGGGTTTTTCATGAAAAATTCTATGAGGCATTGACGGGGTTTTTTTTTTCTCGTTTAAGAGTAAGAGAGTGAGAGGGAGAGAGGTTGCGGTCGAGGAGTTTGACTTGTGTACGTTTCAGGGGGGTTGAGTAGGCTGAGCATATGCGTAATTAAGATGATTAACTTTTGCATAATCGATAATTAAAGCGATTTTAAGGGGCTTGAATACACTTTGTCAGCATTTATCTCACTCCCTGCTGGAGATGCTTTTATATGCATTTCTTCCTGTGAATCTGTATATCTCTACCGGCATTAATCAAAGTTAAGTTATGGGAAAAAATACACAGACTTTTGGGGGTTTCTTTGAGCTAAAACTGATATCTCCTATGTAATTCCTACAGTAAATGACACAGAGTTCCACAAAAATATATCGTTCCTTTAGGTATTATGTACTTTTATTTTAATTTATTAATTTTACTTTAAGAAAATAAATCTATTCATTAATATAATCCACAAATTCATTTTCTAAATTTTCTAATTTTCTTTAAAAGTCTCTTAAACGATTTTAACCTGTTTCTTCTGTTCCTCTGTTGCTGTCCCAAACTAGCCGCCAGTCCAAGTTCAATGCTGCTTAGAAACCCAACCACCTAATGACCAAACTGTCATCCATTTCTAAGCACTCCATCATCGTCATGTACGTCATCGGCTCAGGAGAGTCCGTCCCGCCACCATCTTAATTATGAAAATGAAATGAAGAAAACCACCCAAAGCAGTTATTTCTTTTTACAAATGTCGCCTGGGCTGCCGCCGCTGCTGTCGTCACCATTACAGATTTTTGTGTATGGAAACAGAGACTCAGAACAGAGCCAGGGACCAGGGACAGGGGACCAGGGAACCCTGTACCCATCATAAATCATAATTTTTAATATTTGTTGTCAGCGACATGGGCGTAGCTCGTGTACATGTAAACATGCAGCCGCTTCTAAAACTAGGGTCTAGGGTCCAACCCACGGGTACGCACGAGAGTTACGTACAGATCGTTGGACAAAAAAAAAAAAAACAAAACAGAACACTACAACGGAACAACAACAAAAACAACAACAACAAAAAGATGAATAAAGGTATTTGCGCACGCGCAGTCACACTCAACTCATTGGGCTGGCTGTCTCTTTTGCACTGCTCAAACAGCCATAACTGAACCAGCTGTGAGACAGAGAAGGAGCGAGAGAGACACAGACTGTGTGTGGACCCATTAAAAACTCATAAAAATTTGTAAGCACCTCATAAAAATAGTCATAAATATTATTCCTCCTCATCTTTTTTTTGTTTGTTGTCTTTTTTGTTTTTGGAGTGGACTTGGGCCTCTCTTTCGCTCTCATTCGTTTGGGTCTCCTTCGGTTGTGGCAACCCTCGTCACAGTTGCTGTTTGCGGTTTGTTTGTTTGTCTGTCGCCTTCTCATAATTTTTATGAGTTCTTTTCAATTGTTTTCCAAACTCAAACTCAAACTCAAAGCCAATCAACCACCGATCCGATCCTCACTGCAAGCGGCCATTTCTGCCATAATTTACGATCTGTTACGTAATGGTTTTTGGTTAGAGATATCAGAGTGCTCGTGGTCCTGGTCCTGGTCCTGGTCAAGGACAACTCAATTGTGTAATATTTCATGGTGTTCATGGCTACTGTTTAGGGGCAGATTATTGTCGTTTAAGTAGTTGGGTTCAGATTTTGACAGCGGGATGTAATTAATGGAGTGTGGACAGGGTGGCAGACCGCAGGGGTATCTTATAGCAGAAGATTGAACCATGTAGTAGATGTATTAATTTATTGAAAGGTGCAGAATGCACGGACTCAAAGAAGGGCTATCTGAAATTGTCTCAGAACCTTGAAGTTGTCTAGTTGTCTATTCTTTAGTCGAAACTTGCATGCAAGGATCTTCTTCTTAGCCATTTGTTTTCTGCTTCTTTCAACAACCTTCAAAGTGTCTCAGCACTTATTGTACAAACATTTCTGGCATTTTTCCCTGCTCAAAATACTTAGATCAACGACTTTAGCACACAATATTTGCAGCTTGAGGAGTTTGCGTGTTTGGGACTTTGATTTATAAATATGCATAAGTAACGATGAAATAAAATCGGGGCAGAGGCAGTGGCAGTGGCAGTGGTAGAGGGATACGATACTCGCGTATGATGAATGTCTTCGCCAGGCGCAGGCCAAATGCAGAATGATGGGATAATGGGCATAAATAACGAGTGCCACAATGCAGAAGACACTCGAACTTTGGACACACTCTTGCAAGTCGGTGGTAGACCCTTCCACTGTCGCCTCCTCATGTGGCCAATTAGCTAGTTGAAAACTAGGGTCTGGCCGGGCACTGCAACTGCAACTGTAACTGTCTCTCTGTTGTGCCCACATTATGCAATCGTGGCAGCCACTCTTTGATCTTGGCCCACCCCTGGCGAGGGCGAGGGCTAGGGCGAATGCTAGGCAAATGAAAGTGACCTACATCAAGTGGAATTTTTGTTCCATTCAGTCCACATATGTATGCCCGGCCAGGCACTCTCTCTCTCTCAGAAAAGTGCCCATGCAGGGACTGGGACTCCGTCTAGGGCCCAGGAGCAGTCGGTCATTGGTGCAGCGACTCGGTATCTCGGTTCCAGACCAATGCGTCCGGTACGTACGTCTTCTGCCCAGGTCTCCAGATCTCCCGTCTTTAATATAATTTCGGTTTCGCTTTGCAGTCGTCGCCCCATGGCGTCTTGGCCAGCATGACTCCGCCGTGCCGACCAGGGGACCAGACCTATGTATGTCTTGGTTTGCTTCATCCCTGCACACCATTTATGTATGTATTAAGAGAGGTACGATACGAGTAGTATATAGGGATAGGTACATAGGGCTTAGATTAGCCCTCTCTATATATTCGCTGCTTGTTAGGCATTTTTCATTCGCTGTGACATTTCGCCTTTGTGCCTCTTAATTATTTCGAAAGCGGCTGCATTTCGTTTTAATGAAGTGAAAATTCTTGGCGCTGATACCGCACACGCAACCCAATGAAAAATTACTAAACACACAACGAAAAACCAGAAACCGAACCCAAAATAAAAAGGGAATAAGTAGCAGGAAAAGTATATGCAAGAGTATATATAAATTTTGAGGGGCTTGGTTTTTGGACAGTGAATCAATTTTTATTGATTTAGAAAGAGGGAGATACGAGTTACCAAATAATAATAATAAACAAAAGGAAAAAGTATCAATTAAGTGCGAAGGGAACAAGTGGAATAAAATTTACTTTATTCTTAAAGTAAAAAATAAAAAATACATACAACTCAAAAATAAATTCAAATGCGGTGCAAATGTAGCTTTACTTTGATCTCAGAGTTTCTAATAATTGAAATAGTTCTTTGCTTGAACTGAATCCCTTCGGTAGACACAAAAAAAAATTGCACAAATAAAAAAAAACCATAAATAAAAACAAGTTATTGAAAATTCCTTGCTAATAAAACCAAATGATTAAAATATTAAGCTCTTCCCATGAAAGGAATGCCTTTGAGTAAATTTAATTTAATTCGTTTCCCCTACAACTCGCTTTACTCACAATTTTCAGTTAGCCGTCGGCGTTTGGCATTTACCAGATAGCAAGTGAATTCTTGGAATATTCACAACACTCTGCACTGAATCACTGAATACACTTTGTACTCGTATTGAGAGTTGTTTTCATTCGACTGCGGATCGTAATGAGCTCAGCATTAGGCGGGGATGGATTAGAGCAAGAGTTGTCCTCGGATTTTAGGAGTTAATCCGCTTGCATCCTGCTGGGCAAATGGGTTTACGAGTCCTTTAGCTTCACCTGCCCTGCACTTGCCGCAGGAATGTGTGTTTTGGCCGCAATTGGCCGCAGATTTGAACGGTTTTTAATGCACACACAAACACAGACGCACACACACAGAGAGACAATTTGTCACAGACGCCGGCCGGGGCAGATGAGGCCCATTAGGAGTCGAACGCGATAAGTATCTGCGAGATGGCTAAAGTATCTGCGAGATGCGAGATGCGAGAATTTCACGCCGAATTTATGATTATCCATCAGCGCGAATGCCTCTCAGACGTCATCGATGAGCGCACTGACACTGAAAACACTCTGCTGCCCATCCATCATGCATCTACTAAGTGTATCTTTGTATCTTTGTATCTTTTGTGTGTGCAAGTATCTTTTGCAATGGATATCTGTGTGTCGGATTGTTATGGGTTGGTTGTTCCGTGTTCGGTATTCCGGTGCTCGATGTATTCGCGGCTACGTGCTCGAAGCGTCTCACTTTGAATGCTCGGGCATCATTCAAATATCCGAGCATCAATAAAAAACACTCACACACTCATTCACTCGCTCGCTCACGCGCAGCCAGCCCCCGTCCCCTTCGCTCCCCACCCCACCCCTCCCAATGTCGACCCATCCAATTGTATCTGCGAGTACGAGCAAGTAGGGCTATGGCTATATAGCTATAGCCACATCCAAGTGCATTCATCAAGCACTCACTCGCGTAAAAAACGAGAAGAGCCAAACACGAAATTCGAACACAAGTGAGTGCGAGCGAGCTGGCAGCACTGTGTGTGCCATCTGCCATCTCCCTTGCACCTACGGCGAGCATCCATGCCGCTCTACCTTTGCGGGCGCAGAGAACATTTTCGTATCAACCGCCAAACCAGAAATTCGTAGCCGCAAATACTGTTTGCATGTGTGTGTGTGTGAGTGTGTGTGTGTGTGCGTCTGTGAGTTCGAAAGAGAGGCAGTTCGATTCTCTCTCCGCATTTTGGTCAAAGTTCTTATTGCTCTCACGTACACTGTCCGTGTGCATTTGAGTCTCACGTACATGAGAGAGATCGTTCGTTCGAAAAATTTCTTAACTCAGAATTCTTATTGCGGCTCTCTCACGTACACTGTCCGTGTGAGATCGATTCCTTAAAACCTTCAAAAACATTCGAAATTCGATGTTTTGGATATTTTTGAGCGCTTTTCCGAAAGCTGGATTTTGGCTAAGAATTTTCGATGTGGGCTAACGTAAGAGGGGGCAAATAGCAGACTTTTTGAAGTGGGTTTAGATTCTGAGTAATTGGAAATTGGGTGATTTTAACTAAATTAAGCCTCACCAATTTAAAACACAAAATTCTCCACATGAAGACAATTCTGAGCTTTTATTTAATGACTTTTGATTTAAGCAACAAACCTCTGTTCTGACCTCCTCATGCACCTGCAGTTTCAGTCTTTTTTGCCTGATAACTGGTAAATTTGAAGAGTGTAAGAATGAAGTTAATAGATGCTTAGATTTGTCTGTCAATGAAAATTTTCTGGGTGTCCGTCAGTTTAGTACAAAAATGACTAGTAGTTGGAAAATTGAAACAAGATTTAGAAGATGTTTCTAAGTTCATTTTTATAGCACTTTTGGTAGGACTATTTCAAAATTTTGATATGATTCAGACTCTGAAATTCTTATGTTAAGGAAATCTCTTTTTCATTCCTGTCAGAGCTAACAGTTCAGCTAAAACATCGCTGAAAGCTGCACCCATTCTTTGGCATCTCTTAAACCTCTCCCTGTGGCCTGTATGTGCCATATTCCAATTTCTTTGCTTACCTATAAATGGATGAATTTGAAATCCAATCGCAGGTCACTTATCTGCTTTGAGGAATCTGTTTAGTTTATATCTGCCAGCACTTCACTTGATATATCTGTATTTTTGTATGCGTAAATTGTATTTGCTTTAAGCACCGCACTTTTAATCCAAATTATTCTGAGTTGAGTTGTTTGGGGGGATACTGGTATTCACTTTAGAATTGATTGTGGAACTGGGACATCTTTGCGTGGGGAGAACTGGCTCCCGTATGGAGGAGTTATCTTGTAGATTTATCCGTTATAAGCTTATCGAGGGGACCATGACCATTGCACCGTGGCTCCGATTTACCGACGCCTAAAAGCTTCCTTTCCATGGGACACAAGACGCCAAGTTGCGTGAGAGAGGCGAGAGAGACGACTCGAGTCGCGTTGGAGCAAAAACTAAAAACTTTCGCGTGTTGCACGATTTTTGTGGCAAGTTGAGGACCGAGCGCGCGGCTTGGCGACTGGAGCGACTGAAGTGCGCCACGTTCGATACACGTTTGAGTGTCGGACCATTCATCGGTTCGGTCCACCAGTCCACGTCCGAGTCGATTCCACAGTGCTTCTGGGCAACACCGCTCTGCTCTGCTCTGTCTGTGTGTGTGTGCGTGTGAGTTTTTCGAACACTGTAAATCATCTGGCTGCAAGGCCATGAGTGCGAGCAGGAGGCCCTCTGTGTGCGCATGTTCGAAAAGCAGGGTGTCTCGCTCTGGCCCGAAACTGACTCCGCCCCGTGCCTTGATTTATGGACAGAGGGTGCCAAGAACCGGCCTATGGCGCTGCAGCGCGCTGTCTGTCCCGTGGAAATGGAAAAGCCAAAGAAAACAAAAGAGGAGAAAAAACAGGTAGTTGGATCCACCGCTGGCTGGGCTGGCTGGCCACTCCAGCTCTCTTTTGTTCTTGCTGCTGCTGCTGCTGCTCCAGATTAGGCCGAAATCATCCTAGATTAGGATGCGATGCGTCTACCCGGGTCTCTCTCTCGCTCCCTCCCCATTTGGCTCCCTGCAGTCCCACTCTCCTGCCCAACTTTATTTGTATTCAATCGTGGCGCTGTTCCCCTAAATCACCGTCACATTATTATTTCGCATTATTATTTTATAAACGTTTCGCCGCGTTCCACGTTCATTTCCATTTTTATTGGCTGCCTTCGAAACTTTACAAAATCTGTCCCTCCTCTCCTACGCCTCCTACGTCTCCTGCTATCAAAGTGTATTTTGTGACTCCCTTTAAAACGAGCTCGTTTGCAGTTGTCTCTGAATTTAAATTTATTGGCTCCGGTTTCGGTTTCTGTTCGCTGTTCTGTTCGCTGTTCTCTCCGTCTCCGTCTTCTCTCTTCTGTCTCTGATGTCTTCTGTCGCTGGGTTCACTTTGGGTTCCATGTTCCACGGCCCCAAGTTCAAGTTTTGATGATTCATTCGGTTGTTGGGTTAACGATTTTGATTTGTTTGGCTAAATGCCTTAATTAAAAATCAATTTCATATTCGGCTACCAACATTTTTGTCACTGCCGAACAAATGCTTATTGATTTACGTTGACATTTGAATTTGAATGAACTTAAAAAAGGCTTTGATTGGGACTATCAATCCATATCCATAGGTACTGGTTTGTGTATGCAGATGAATACAAAGACACACCCCAAAAATTAGTTTAAGTTTTCAATGGGGTTTCAATTAGTGGATTGTTTACGTATTGAAGGTTGTTTTGGGGCTTGATTTTTTTCATATGAATTTGGTATGGAAATGGCTATGGAAATAGCCCAAGTAATTCTTGCTTTTACACATAAGAAAATTGTCGTCATTGCCGATATTTACTCTTCCGCTTTGCATTCCCACTAAGGATTACACTTTTCCAGATGTTTTTCCCACACACACACACATGCAGAGCACCCTCTCTTTATTCCCTGCCAGAGGCCCGCACACTATATAAAAATATGTAAAAAAAAAGAAAGAAAAAAGATATGGTATGGCCTGGCTGAAACTGAGAAACTAAAAAAAGAAATCATAAGAGAGACGCCTGCGTGTACTTCTGTAATTGGAGTTGATGTTGGCGATGCCAGCGGGCAGTCAGAGTCAGACTTTGGGACTCACACCATTCCGGACCCATCGAGGGTCCCGTCCCCTCTTTGCTCTCTCTCTCTCTCTCTAACTCACCGGGCAGCAGCAGCAGCATCCAACATGTTGCAGGCGATTTTTCATCATCGTTGCATGTTGTTCCTACGCTGCTGTTGCGCCACACACTCGCACAGTTTTTAATATGAAACAATCAGCAGCATTTGTAGTTTGTTTTTACTAAAAATGTTATAGGAATTTTCAAATTAAATGTGGGCATAGGAACTATCGTTGCAGCAGCAGCAGTGGCAGTGGCAACAGCATCAACGGAACTGCCACTGCAACAGTTTCCAATTAAACGATCCAAGAAAAATGGCCCCCAACTCGGTGCCAGTACCCAGTCGCAGTCCCGGTCTCGACTCACGACAATTCGTTAATACCTTGCCATTTGAGTTCTTCACGCATCCGTAATGGAAATGGGGGGAATGCCATGGCATGGCATGGCATGGCATGGAGGATGGATGAAAGATGGGAGACTGGAGTTTCAGATGGGTATACCATGTCTACGAGGAGTTGATAAATACCCCCCCATTTAGGGACAACACACACAAGTCGGAGTTAGTTGGGATAGTAAGCGATATCTGGAGCAGGAGCAGAAGCAGGAGCTGCTGTTGCTGCTGCTGCACTTGGCGATGCATTGAGAGATGCACTTCCATTAAAAGCCAATTTAAATTAATTTCCATTCTCTGCTTTTTGGCAGCTACCAGTTTTCCGTATTTTCCACAACCTTCTACCCATGGCGGAGACTCTACCGGAGACAGACCAGACCCTACACTCTGTGTCTCCTTCTATGTCAGTGTCAGTGTCAGTCCATTCACATTTGATTATGACAAACGTGGCTCAGCTGTCAGGCAATGAGCTACTTAGTGCAAACAAGATGGCTGCCAGAGTGGCCAAGAGAGCGGAGAGGGGAGGGAAAGGGATGGGACGGGAACAGCTCCAAGATCGGGTAAAGTGGTTCTGTGTGGCAGGCGGAGCAGTAGCCTGGGGACTGGAGGTCATTAGGAGCGAACAACAGCTGAGTATAAGCGAGGAATAAGAGCAGGAGATTGGTTTGGGCTTGTAAACAGCATTTGGGAGGAGTGCCAACTAAATTTGCATTTAAAAACTGATTTTAAAGCTTGCAATTCTATAAATATATTTGGGCTAGCTTATAAGTTAAATTTGATTGCTACAAATCATGTGGAAAGAGTCTCAAATATTAGTTTCATATTTTACAACCAAATATTTCCCAATGTATCTAATTTTAAGTTACACATTTTTTAGCTTATAACATCCTGGGAATAACAAATAATTCTCAATCTTTTTATCTTAAATTGTTAATTGTATTTGTTGGTATTTAAAAACCCCACAGGAATAAGCTGGAATGGCCCTGAAATAATAGAAATCCAGTAGTGTAAAATATGAGCTGTAAATTTTACAAAATATAACAGAGTAAGGGTTATAATCTGTATAACCTGTAAAATTGCATTTAATGTATATAAACTTCGTAAAAATATTTGGTTTTAATGCATTTAAAGTTCCATCTTCCACCAAAGTTTTATTC